CAGCTGGCCCTCCAAGGACACTGGAAGTTGGCGTCAAAATCATAGCACATAGCAAGTCTCAGTATTTCTAATCATTATTGCTTGCCTTTCTCTCCCACAAGACTCTAAGCTCCTTACAGGTAATCAACATATTTTATCTTTGTATTTCAGAGACCAGTTATTAACAGGTGTGTGCTGAATGAATGGATGAGTGAATGAATGGGTGGGATGTGTCTTATCTGTCATTCTGGCAGCCTTACTTGACCCTGTTCCTCCCATTCCTGTGACTTTGGTAGCTCCTGACACCATATCCAATATTTCACTCACTCACCTTGCCAGCTACTTGCCGGGCTGAAACCATCTGATGCGGACGGTGAGATATGAATACTCTGTCTTTGGGCCATGGATGTGAATGTTGGGGGATCCCGATCGTTGCCCAGGTCTGGACATCTCTCAGACCAGCCCTGCCTGCCCTCCCAGCTTTGTCTTACCCTTAGTGCCATTTCCATCGAGTGATGACCTGTAGTTCTGTTGTGCACAAGACACAGGTTCAGGCCACCAAGCCGCATTGCTGGTCACCACAGAACCATCAACTGGGATGTCTGCTTTTCAGATTCATTCCTATTAGGCTGAAAAAGAATACATAGCAGGTGCTCTGTTAATAGTTCTTTAATGAATGAATGAGCCTCCCTTGAATTTAAATCAATAGCCGCGTCCTGTGTTTGAGTCAGCCTCCTGAGCACGAGGACTCAAACGTATACCCAGTAAGAGAAGAACCTGAAGTGCCACTCTGGACGTTCCTTTTGGCTCAAGTGTCCACAGGGCAAATGCAGTCTTCGAATGGAGTGTGGTGACAGCCAGTATCAGCTGACACACGAACCCCTGTGGACGGCCTCATCACACACTGGACACCATGCCTCACATCATCAAGAAGGTGTACCTGCTCCGTGTGCACTTGCGACTGGAAACCACCACTCACCTCCTGCGGACGGTGCGGGATGCCCAGCCAGTTGGCATCTCCCCAAGAGAAGCAGGCAGTGACCAGCTCCCTAATGGAAGGTTTGGGGCTTAACGAAATGCTAACTCTGAGATTCAGGGGTCCCAGATTCTTCAGTCAGGGCACCATTTTAGTCTGTTTCCCTCACCTCCGCTCACCTGGGGGAAACGCGTCCTTTTTGTTCTTAAGAGTAGTATTTAAATGGGTCCCTTGCACCATCACATGCCTAATAGTCAAAGGATGCATTTGTTAGTTTGTTTATATCTCCCTTCACTCCGAGAGATCTGGGTCCACCTAGACGAATTCATACAATGATACAAAAAGGTTCTAGAAAAAGGCAGGCAGGCACTGGTCGGTGTGCTCAGTGGTTAGAGCATCGGCCCTCGCACTGAAGGGTCATGGGTTCGATTCCCAGTCAAGGCCACATACCTGGGTTGCAGGTTCGATCCCTGGCCCCCGTCGGGGTGTGTGTGCATGAGGCAACCAATTGATGCGTCTCTTTCACATCAGTGTTTCTCTCCCCCATCTCCTCCTTTCCACTTTCTCTAAAAGCAATGGAAAAAAATTTCCTCCAGTAAGGATGAACAAAAATACATAAGTAAAATAAATAAAAACCTGGCAGTATTTGCGGAAGTACAACAAAACCAGGATTGCTTACAAACCACAAAACTGACTACATATTTGGCCCAAGGATGTTGCAATTCAAGACAGCTCGGAGACGCTGCTAGGCGGGCTGTTGAACAGGGCCCACGTGTGCCACAGTCTTTATAGATTTTACTGCTGCTACCTTGGCGTGAAAATCAGCGAGGGCATTTCAAATACAGGTTGCCTCTTCCTGTTGAGAAGATTCTGTTTTCTTAAGTAATCAAAGAACCGGGTAAGACAACCAAACCACACACCATTATTTTGGTAAAACACAGTCTTTGCTTCCTAAGCAGGCCATGGTCCACAGTATTTTATCCAGAGCAGACGAATAGTACAAGAAAACTTTGTCTTTTTAGCAGAGAGAGAATCAAACACTAATTTGGTTACTTTTGATATTTAGATTTACTCCATTAAATGTATTCCTCTCTTATCCAGCTTGATCACACATAACATTTCCTTCCATAAGCTCTTTACAACTTCCTTTGTCCCTTTTTGTTTGTGTCTCGTTCTCTTACCCATTCAGAAGTAACCAGGGCAAATGAGCTCATTTCCAGCTGGGACTGCAAGTCAGGGGGCATCTGGTCGGTCAGGGAGGGTTTCCTGGGGAGGGCGGGTGCTGGGCAGCCTTGCCCCACCATAGCCTGCCAGGCCAGGGGAGATCCAATGTCTCTCCCCTGCTTCATCTGAACTCTGTGTCTCTGTACCTCCCCCCCCAATAGAATGGACATGGGAGGTAGGCAGCTGACTCGGAAGCCTAAGGCCTGGGTTCCAGGTCATACTGGCTGCATCCCTTAGTAGAGTGTGACTCTGGCCACAGCCTCCTCATGTGCAAAATGAGAATAAAGGAACCCACCCGCTTGCTTCCCAGGAGGACAATGGGGCTCAAATAAGATAAGGCCCAGGCACGTAAAAGGCTCTGAAAACTTCAAAGCACTGTACCAATGTTATAAGCATAATTATGGCTTATTAGCATTCTATATGCACGGTGATCACTCTGGCCTTTGTTTTTCTGGGACCTCTAGGAAGGGGTGTAGCCATGTGGCTTAGGAGGGGGACACCAAAATGGGGACCCCATGTGCAGCATGGCTGCATAGCTGAACATCCTGAAATGCCACCGACCTCAGCATCCTTAGACTAGAGATCACACTTGGGAACCGGGTGGTCTGGACGGTGGGTGCAGAGGATGCCAGGGCTTCCGGAGCCAAGGTGCAAGGCTGCCTGACACCGCTGGAGAAGAACCTGGCTTCCCTGGCAACGCCCCACTCTGAGCCGTTCTCCCACTGGTCTGAAAGAAATCTAAGCAGTTGGCACTGAATTGAAGCATTGTTTGAAGCCGGTAGAGAAGACCCCATATCATACCTACTTCATTAACTTGAGGTCTGGCTTGCCCTGACCCCTAGCTATAATCAGTCTATTAATATATCTACTGAATGCCAATATAGAATCAATACAAACCCATACAATGAAAACACTAACAATCTGATTGGGAAGATTAACTATAGGACGGGTTCATGATAGATGGATACATACATACATATATACATGGATAGCTACACAGATTAAAGGTAGAGCTAGAGATAAGTATGAGAGGTTATTGATAGATGATAGATACTTGGACAGAAGGAGAATTGGATAGATAAGGACAAACATGAGAAGACACTAACAACATCAGGATAAACAGAACACTTTATTGAGCATCTACAATGTGCCAGGTAGTTTCAGACATGCTATCACACTGTCATTCCTGAATTCTTTCATTGACACTGAGAAATCATCATCCCCTTTGTCAGGTAAGGACACTGAGGTCCAGACAGGTTAAATAACTGCCCAAAGCCATCCAACTGGCCGCTGTGTTCTTTCACCTCAGTCTCGCTGTTCCTGAGTCAGAAGGAACTCCCCCCACCCCGCCCCAGCTCTGAACAGTGTTGGTTCTATATGAGCCTTTGTTTTATGTTAGAGCATCTTGGACGTTCTGAGAAAAGCCCCAAACCACTTTCCATTCACTGAGAACCGGAAACCGTGCCTTAGCAGGTCCTGTTCCAGCCACGTCCAGTGCCCAGACGAAAGAGGCCTCGAAGGAGGAATCAAAGAGCATTTCAGAGCCTGCTCCCCACCGGCCAGCACAGAAATGTTTGCGAGGCTGGCCCGGCTCCAGGGGCTCACTAAAGAAACTGGTTTGGAGCCAAAGGCATCTCTGGGGTATTGCACACGAGGCCTGCCCCCGCCTCCTACCTCCTTTTACTTTCTGCAGCTCCTTTCTCTCCCTCCACTTCTCTCCCTGTCTTCCCATTGTCCCAAGACTGGTGGGGGGGTGTCTGGGCAGAAGCTTGGCCTTGATGTCAGAAGGGTAGGAGGTGCCTGGGTGCATCTGGCCACAGCCTCGGCTCTTTCCCGGGCCCCTCCACTGGACTCCTCCCCAGCGCCCAGCTCTGCCCCTGGCCGGGTGCAGAGCCAAGCCTCCAGGCAGGTCCTTGTGCTTTCCCATGGGGCTGGAGCCAAGACTGAGTTTTGGGGCCACAGGCTGTGGTGATGGAGGAGTCGGGCTCAGCAAGGACTGTCAAAGCAGGACTGTTGGGAGGTTCGTCTGGCCATGGAGGAAGGATGCTCCTAAAAGGACTTTTCGGGACTTAAAGAATCCTCTGTGGGAAGGATAGGGATGGGGAAGAAGGAGAGATCTAGAAATCTACCAGATTTCTCCCATAATCTCCCTCGTTCTGGGCTGGCTGCTCAGCCTCTACCCGCCATTCTCTTGGCCCCCAGGGCTCTCTTTGAAATTTCCCAGCCTGGAAAGCACATGTTCCCAGCATGTGCAAGTCTCCCTTTATGTAGACGAGGCTTTCTGTTGATCCCCCAAGTTTCCTTTTATCTAGACGAGGCTTTCTGTTGATTCTCCCGAACACTCTTACAATGCTCAACCAGGAGTCTGGATTTTAGAAATGTTGTTCTGTCTCATAGATGGGATTGTGAAGACTAGAACGGTGAATTGGCTTGCCCATGATCATCAATACTGTTAATGTCCATTCTATTACATCAGGATAGAGAGGGGGTCTCCAACTTCAGCCAGCCCAGAGACTTATCTTCCAGGTGGGTGTGGTCATGTGCTTTATTTGACTTTCGTGGGTCTATGATCTTAAGAGTTTTTTCTGTGGTCTGGGAAGATACAACTCAGAATCAAACCTCAGGCAGCCAGCAGCCACAATGGGAGCTGGGCAGTCAGTTCCCACAGACACCCAGGACTACTCAGAGCTCCACCCAGGGGTGGGGCTACAGAAGACTCCGCCCACCAGTCTGCCCAGCCCCTCCTGCAGCTCTGTGTTTCCCAGGGAGAGAGCCACATAGTCAGAGAGCAGCTGGGTGCTGGCATCCAGAAGGTCAGGGCTGAGGATGGGGAGCATCTTCGGGACCCAGAAGACCAGGCCCTGCCTGAAAGCCCGGCCCGAAGGCCCAAAGGACCTGCCCTAACACAGCCTCTGCAGCCGTCTGGTAAGGGCTGGGCCCTCCTGGTGCTGGGTGGGAGGAGACGGAAGGAGATGCCAACACAAGCCCTGCTGAGACCCAGGGGCGGGGACAGGGCCTGGGATTTCAGGAGCACCTACCTTGTATCAGATATTCCCACAGTCTGAAGAACTGCTGATTACTACCCCATTGTATAGGGGAGAAAAGTAAACCTCAGGGAGAAGTGACACAGTCTCAGAGCAGGCAGCAGACACGTGAGCCGCAGGTGTGTCCTCTCTGCACTGCCAGCCAGGGCACACCCCGCACCAGGGGACCTTGCCCGACTTGCTCAGGGGGACCCATGGCCATCACGCCTCTCCTCAGCTCAGCCTCACTGGGCTTCTCTCCTGCTTCCCCGCAACGCCCCGGCCCCATCCCTGCGGAGCACCTGGTGTCAGGGGACAGCGCCCGAGTAGAAAGACGGCCGGGTTCCAGTATTACGTGAGGGAGATTCGGGGAACGGGAGTGGAAGCCCACACGCATTGCAGTTACCTCCGCGGCTCAGAGCCAATCCAGAGAAAGGTGCAGCAGCCATGCAGGTGACTGAAGTCCCATGTCCTACCCTGTCCTGTCCTCAAAACTGTGCTCCAGGTGGCATTCAGGTGTGCAGAAAGAGCCCGAGCCCTGGGTTCTCGCAGCCTTGTGGGTCCCTGACGTCCCCGGGGAAGACGCAAAGGAGAGAAGACAATGAAAACTAATGTTGATGGTGTACTTTCTCTTCCCATTTGTCAGATCAGTCAAAGGACTCAGGTGTGTCTGAATCCAAAGCTCGGTTCTGGTGATAGCTCATGCGTAGGAGGGGCTCCTTACCCTTTAGAGAATTGAACGCAAGGATGGAGGAGAGTGTGGGAGTCACACCATGGACCCTCTTAAACTCGATGCTGGGCGCAGGGACAGACGGGCCGGGGACATGGCCTAAAGGGAGAAGGTCTGCATATGAGCACTGATGGATTTGATAATGTTTTGTCGGTAGCTGGTGTTCTGATGAGCGAGAAGGAAAGGGATGGAGTAGAGAAAGTGACCGAGTGTGGAATTACTGGAGCGTACATATGTGGTTTTGTAACAGTAAACAACATGGAAATAACTCGGTGTTCACAACAGGACGTGTGCTATATAAATGTTGTTACGCGGAGCGTATGCAATACCCGGCAGCCATTAGAGAGAAAGACCTCTAGGTAGGGACCCAGGACTGCGTCGCTGGCTTTGGGAGGGAGCCAAGGGCTGGGGTCAGCTTGCCGGGGTTCATTTCCACCCCTTACCTCCTGCGCAACCCGGGACTGTGTGTTATCCTCTCTGAAGCACAGCGTTTTCATTTGAAAATGCAGAGAATGGGAGTAACTACTTCGAAGATTTGTTGTGGGGATTCAAGGGGTTCTTAGCACAATGCAAGCGTGCATTAAAGTATTTTTTAAATGTTTGCTGTCACGATTCAGTGAAAAAAAGTAAATAGCAAAAAAGTGCATTCTCTCACCTCACTTTTACTTTTGAATTTTTTCTTCATGCCCAGATATATGCGTATGTAAATATGCATGTGTATGCACAGATAAAACAGCTGTTAACAGTGGTTATCTTGGAGATATGAGACTAGAGAGAAGTGAGGGAGAGACTTAGGTTTTTGTAATAGACTTTAATCTTAGAGAACTTTAGGTTCGCAGCAGTATTGAGCCCCCCCAGCCCAGCCTTCCTCACTATCACTTGTTAAATCGATGAACGCACATTGAAGTATCGAGACTTAACTTTTTTGTTGTTGTTAATCCTCACCTAAGGACATTTTTTTCCATTGATTTTTAGAGAGAGTGGAAGGCAGGGAGGTAGAGAGAGAGAGAGAGATCGATGTGAGAGGGACACATCGGTTGCCTCCTGCCCCCACCCCTACCAGAACCAGGCATAAAACCTACAACCCAAGTACCTGCCCTTGACCAGGAATCGAACCCGCGACCCTTCAGTGCACAGGCCAATGCTCTAACTACTGAGTCACACCAGCCAGGCAAGACTTACACTTTTAACTTTATACATTTCTATCTGGTTTTCACTTCTTCGATGAGCATGTGTGTTGTTTTTTGTTTTTTTGGTAAGTAAAATAATGTAGGTGAATTAATGGCTGAGTCACACCCTAAGCCCCAGAACGGCTAGAGTCTAGAAAGTGGCCTGGTTCGCAGAGGTAACCGCAGAGGAGGGACGGTCCACCCTGGGCCTGCCTGCGCATAGGCCTGGGCCCCGTCCTAACAACCCCACGCTGCTGTCACCTGCATGACCGAGGCTCCTCACAGGCTTGCCTGCCGGGCTGCCTGCTGCTGTCTCAGAGGGACATCTGAAAGCATCTCCCAAAGCCCAGGAGGCCAGGCCCCGGGCCACGCCTGCCCCGACAGCCCTCGCCAGCCATACCCATGCTCGCCCACACCAGCGGCACGGCTTCAGGGCACCAGGAGCAGGTCGGGGAGGCGGGGAAAGCAGCCTGTGCCCTCCTTCAACAAAGGAGGCGGCCAGCCCTGGGTCCGGAGTCCTGACACTCACCAGCACAGCGACCTTCCAGGAGCATCTCCTAGCCGCAAAGCAGGCCAAGATGTCAGGACTTGGCATCCAGACCGCCTCAATGGTCCTAGCACTGCAATAAAATGAATCAAATACTTTTCCTGGTGGAGGGTTTGGCTTTCGATCTGTAAAAATGCAACATCTGTGAAGCACAATGAGGTGAAGTGGTCTGTACCAGGGTCAACTGCTCATGTCACCAGGCCATTGTGAGGACTAGGTGTGGGAAAGTACCTAACTCATTCTTTGGCTCATGGAAGGCCCTCTGGAAGTTTTCCTTTGCTGTCTACATGACCTGCTTACCAGGCCTAGCCCCTCAGATAAATGAGGGAACACCAGGCATGATCGGGGTTAGTGTACAGTTGAAGGTGTCCTTCCTGGCAAAGTCGGGACAAGGACTGGGTAAGGCCGGTCTTGGGACTAAGGACAGGCTGACCAGCTGCATTCTCGGTGCCAGGGAGCCATTCAGGACAAGCTCTCGGCCTTTATATGGTTTGGATTTAAAACGTGATCCTCTAAAACAAAGTCATGGGCCGACGAGCCGGGAGGGGTGCGGGGTGGGAAGAGGCTGGGCTAGGAAACCGCCCCGTGAGCAAACGCTGCAGCCGATGCCCCTCGGACCAGAGACGCTGGGCTGCGAGGAGGGGAGCCTTTCCCGACCTCTGCCTCCCACCTGCCCACCTGTCTCCCCAGGTGCCTCCTACTTCGTCCCCTCTCTGCACAAGCTGTTCAACATGAGACACAGTCTCCACCTGACCTTCATGTGTCTGAGTCTCTTCACTGGGAGGTGAGCTGTGCTGCCCTGCAGTGGCCGGGGGCTGGCTGCTCTGTGTGTGAGTATGTGTGTGTGCGTGCATGTGTGTGTGCGTGCATGTGTGTGTGTATGCATGCGCAGTGGGGGAGGGGCAGCCCTCTGCTTCCCGATGGGTCATCTCCCTGATACACCAGGACAGGGCAACTCCCTGCCATGTTCTACCGGGAGAACTCAGCTTCCAAAATGCTCATAAATGGGCCACCCCTTGCGATTACTGGGAGGACACTTGAGGGTTCCCAAATGCCCACACGTGGCAAATGGGTAATAATTGGAGTGGGATGGGACATACCCATTCGGCAGCTGAAAAGTAGAGATTTCTCTTCGGGAAGGAAGCTGCTGGTCCATGGGCTCAGCCACATCCGTGCGAACACAGCGCATGTTTGTGCACACGTCATTCACACACAAACAAGCATGTGCATGAAACCTGCTTTCTTTCCAGGACGTGTGCCCAGGGGAACCGGTTCGCCATGGAGGTCAGCAGAAGCGACAAGCTCTCCCTGCCCGGCTTTGAGAACCTCACTGTAGGATATAACAAGTTTCTCAGGCCCAATTTTGGTGGTAGGTCATCCTTTTTGTCCAGGACATCAATTCAAAGGACAGGAGCAGAGGAGGGCTCCGGGAGGGTCAGCGGCCTCTGATTTCCCACCTGCAGCCTGTTAAGAGTCGGCGGTGATGGATGAGCGCAGCCGCCAATAAGTTTCCCGCTCCCTTGGAGAAAGCACTTTGCTTCCCCACCTGCAGGACAAAGAAACACTGCTCCTCGCTGAGGAGGTTACTAGAGCCTCCTAACAACCTCACACACCGTTTTCCTTCTGCCCCCACTTCTGGTGTCATTAGTCAAGGAATTCGCCCTGTCTCCCCAGGACTAGCCCACCTGGTCTTCCTGCCTTCAGTCTGCCCCCTCCGAGCTAACCTCCACTCTGCCACCTGGATCACCTACCTGGGTCCTTTGCCTCCTCAGAATACCCGCCTGCACCCCAGCATCATCAGCATAGAGCCCAGGGCCCTTGGCATGGCACACCGGGCGCTTCCAGCCTCTGTCTGCCAGTCTTTCCCCCTCCAGTTCCACCCCCTGTGCCCTCCACACGAGAGTGCCCAAATGCTCCCTGGCCTCCGTGGCCTCCCTAGCCTCCACCCCCTTGCTGGAGCCATGTGTCTGCCACGAAAGCCTCCTTCCAATGTGACTCCCCGTTGAAAGGCCAGTTTTCTTTCAGGTCTCAGATCTAAGGCTTCCTCCTCTGAGAAGCCATCCCGGATTCCTCCAGGTCCCATCCTCTTTCTTCACGCTTTATTTTGAACATACCTCCAAGTCGTAGCCATTACCTGGTGATGCTGTTGCCGTCACTGGCTTCAGCCCGTCTCAGCTCTGGGCTGCCGCCCCTGGGGGAGTCTAGCTTTATCTACCTCACCAACCCCAGCAGCGGCACAGGGCCTCACATCTAGGAAGTTGTCAGTATTTGTTGAAAGAATAAGGCCAGGAGGGAGGGAATGAGACCAACCACACACCTCTGCACAGGTCTCAATCTCCACTTATAAAATGCAAGCGTGAACTTAGGTGGTCTCTCAGGCCTCGTTACATAGAGCAGGAAGTAGTAGAAAGAGCCTTGGACCTGAACACACCGGGGTTTGGCTCCTGCCTCCGCTGCTTGGCAAGTACCTGAGCTTCCTGAGTCTCTGTTTCCCTTTCTGCAACCTGGGGACATGTCATCCACCTGCCACGGAGGGTTGAACAAGATGAAGTGTGTAAACGTGAGTCAGGGTGCCCGCCGCACCATCGAGGTGCAGTCTATTTTAATCCCTGTTCCTTCCTGCTCCTCCCTGAAACAATCAAATTCTCTGGTCAGGCCTAGGATTTGTGGGTAAGTCCAGGTCCTCAGAGAAGCAGAGACCCAGAGAGATTATCTGTACCAGACACTATTTGGGCAATATCTATGAAGGAATTGGGGCGGGGGCGGGGGAGCTGGAGAGGTCTGATTGCGGTACAGGTCTGACCCCAGGGGAAGAAGGGAGGGGAGGACGGCTGGGCGGGGTGTCTGAGTCAGCGGTGGCTCCCCGTGAGCCTGAAAAGGCTACCAGGCAGTCCATGAACCGAAGTTCCCATCAGAGGAACTGTGCCTCCCGGGACATGTCTGCCTGGTACCCCCACCGTGTTCAGTCACGTGTGGGGTCCGGGCTACTGGAAGGGTGGTCTCAGAGCAAACGTGGTCATAGGTTTCAGAGCTCAGCATCTGGGGCCCTTGGTCAGTTACACCCCATCAGGAAGGGATCCGAGACGCCTGCTCACAGCCCCCACACAGGCAGGATCTCCGGTCCTCATAATAAGGGACCTAGGGGGCTTCAGCCTCGCTCGGTTTTCCCAGGCCCAGCTGAACCCTAACAACAAGCATGTGAGTCTGACCCCTGGCTAGGTCCGCCCCTCAATTTCTCTGCCTCCCAAGTCCCAGTTAGGCCAGGACACTGCCCTTCAACTTGCCTGTTCCCTGGCCAGCAAGGTGTCGGGTCCTTGGGTAAGTAAGCTGCTCATTCTGAACCCGGAGTGGATCGAGGGGATGCGAGACCCAGATCCTCGGGTGAAAATGGGGCACGGGGTGCTCAGTCCAAAAGCACAACTCCCAACCCCTTTCCTGTGCCTCTTGGTACTTTGACTCCTAAAGGAACCTGCATACACGTGGCAGCCTGGAGGCCCATGGAGGGGTCATTTTTCTCCGTGACGTCTGTCCTCTAGGTTCTAGAACCCTGAGGTCCTTAAGAGATGAGACCTGCACAGGACTTTTCAGGGACTCGGCTAACAGAGAACAGGTTTGCCAGCAGGCCAGGGACTGGCTTCACCCGCTTTCCTAGGAGAAAGCTGCCCTCTGGTGGCTCAAGTCAAGGGAAGGGAGGAAGCTCTGGCCCACGACCATCCAGAAACAAACAAAACAAAAACCACAGCACGGCTGGAGCGCTTGTGTATTTTACCTTTTACCACAAGCCTCGGGGAAGGCAACTCACACTGACCCACTGGCCACTGGGTTCCAGCACTGAAAATAAATCCCGGAAACTTCCCAGCCCAATTCTTGCTGGTAGGCACTAGTAGCTCTATTTTACAGGCGAGACACTGTAGCACAGAGAGGTTTAGCGATTTGCTCAAGGTCACACAGCTATGAAGTGGCTGGCATGGGATCCAAACACTCTGACTCCGGGTTCCTCTTCCTGGCAGTACACTATGCTGCCTCGAGGGGTAGAAAGCCACTTAGCATCACGCTCCTTCAGCACCTTCCAGGGGCTGTCCCCAAAGCCCTCAGCTTTTCTACTAAGTATTAACTTCTTTATTTTCTCGTTGCATTGGCTCTAAAACTCCATTTCCAAATTCCTACCTGTAGTCTGTGGCTTGGGTTCCTTGGATGATTGATTAGTTGGCTCTGTCATTCCCACGAATTAGATGTTTTTAAAGCATCCTTGGAATTCCACCCTCCCCCCTTCCTGGTTAATGCATTGTCACAGTCCCCTGAGGCACCCCATTATTTACTGCAAGCAATCCTAGTGCATCTCACAGCCTGGTCAGTAAACTTGTTCCTTTTCCAGACTTCAATAGCACTGCAGAGGGGAGGGGGAAGGGAGAGGAAGTGCCATTTACTGATCGTCTGTAATTACGTCTATAATTCCGTGACAGGCCCCATGCTGGGAGCTTGAGCAGATGACTTTTGATCCACATGCCGAGCTGCCCGCTGGCCGGCAGCTTAGATACATCCATTCCCTCTTGGCCCCACCTTGCAAAGAAGCCATCACTCGTGCCTGATCGCCTTTAACCCTCCCGTGACCCCACGGTGCCCTCGGCGTTACCCCCACTTACTGGTGAGAAAAGTGCAGTTCGGACAGATTTGGTAACTTTTTCCAGGTCACCAGGCAGGGCTCAAACTCACACCCTCCTGGCACCTGGCTTTTCTCGCACATTCCAGCCCGAGGAGGTAGCTCCCTGCCTGGCCTCCGTCTCCGGAGCTGCTGGCCCTCTCAGGAGTCCGGCCCGTCTGCCAAACCTCCAGGACTGAGGCCTGAGGTCTGTGCAATAGATCCGGTAGAGAAGGTTCTGGAAATCTGAATCGTTGAGGTCTCCTGAGGAGTCAAGGAAGAGGGGAAGGGATCGTAGGTGAGCCAGCGCTCACCCGGGAGCAATCTTGATGCCATCTTGCGGTAAATTTACTTCACTGAGGGAGAGAGATACCCGTGCACCAATGCCCAGGTCTCGGTGACATTTCTAAATGTCCCCTGCAAGCGGCACAGGACCAATTCTCCAAGTATGAAGTAGCAAACACCACCGTACCCGGTAAAAGACACACTGGCGAATAGAGGGTGGTCTCTCTCATGTTAAGCGGACTGCATATTTGTGTATCTTTTCAGACAAAGGGGAGGCACAGTGCCCACGGTGTTTTCTCCGGAGAGGGGAGGGTAGAATTAAACTTCTATTCTAGAGCTGCGACTCCCAGCCTTTTCCCGCTCATGGCGCACATACGCTAATTACTAAAACTCTGCAGCACACCAACAAACATACTCTATTTTTTGCCAATCTGACAAAAAAAGATATATGTTTGATGCATGCACACTGGATGGCTATTGTTGTGTTGGCTGCTGTCATTTTCTATTGGACGATCTAAGGAAAGAGGTCAGTGCCGGCCCGAACGGTCACTGTGCGCGTGTTAAAGATTCTCGCACACACCGGTTGACCGTCGCTGTTCTAGAGCATTTAAGAATTTCCAACAGGCAAGTGTTACTTTTGCAATTTTCTAATTTTAAAAAAGTGTGCTGATTTAGTGTTAGGAAACCTTCTATGTAAGTCTTTCTGTTGTTGTTTTTCCTTCAATCTCAGGAGAACCTGTTCAGATAGCCCTGACTCTGGATATTGCGAGTATTTACAGTATTTCCGAGAGTAACATGGTAAGTGAGGCCCCTCCGTCTGCCACCCAAGGGGTCCCCCTCCTTGTGAGTAATGGGGGTCCATGAAAACGGAACAGACTTACAGCCCTCCCGCTCTTGGGAGGGCCAAAGGCGGGACCTGTCCCGAAACACTGGAAGGTTCTTGTCAAACAGAGCTAAGATCCTCGGGAGGAAGGTGGATGCAAAGGCCACGAGGGGAGGCACGAGGGCGGGGGTACGTTTCGTGAGCGATAAACCCGGGAAAAGAATGGGCCGCGGGTGAGCCGAGTATCACGTGGCCCCTCACAGAGCCAGAGGCAAACTGAGGAACACTGACCATCACATAACTGCTTCCAATCAACCACACACCTCTGACCCTGAACAGGTCAGGGACAAGCCAACCCCAGAGGGAGTTTGCCACGACCCACTGTGCCTGCTCACAAACCCTGGACACTTAACTCACGGAGCCTGCAGCAGTTCTAGCGCCTTGGTGATCGAGGGCCCTGAACTTGCTCCTACCGGGTCCCCTTTTGCCAGTGGGAGTCACTATCTAGAATAAATAAGGTGCTTTGTTCTCTTACGGCGACAGGCCACCACTCCGAGACACATTGTATTCACCTGTGTCTACTACAGTAGACCTAGGTACTTGTCCGCCAGGAGGTGGGGAGGGGTGTAGAGTTGACTCTTTCCGATGTCACAATCTCTCTCGTCACCCCCCACCAAGGACTACACAGCCACCATCTATCTCAGACAGCGCTGGACGGACCAGCGGCTGGTGTTCGAAGGCAACAAGAGTGTCACTCTGGACGCGCGCCTGGTGGAGTTCCTCTGGGTGCCGGACACTTACATTGTGGAGTCCAAGAAGTCCTTCCTCCACGAAGTCACTGTGGGCAACAGGCTCATCCGCCTCTTCTCCAATGGCACAGTCCTATATGCGCTCAGGTGAGTGGGCACCTCTGGGCGGGAGGGGGAACAGGTGAAAGAAAAGACACGGATTCGTCTTGAGCAGTTCGGACCAGCACTCCGTCGCCGGGCTGAGGTCCCCTTTGCACACCCCTGCCCTCTTCCAGCCTTGCCCGAGCCGGAGGGCCCTCTCTCCGCTCGGTGTGGTTCCACATCTGCTGCACGACCGCCCGGTGCGGGCCCCACGCTGGACACTGAGGGGACAAGGGAGCAGACACTGTCCTGACAGGCACAGGAGCAGAGGGGGTCCAGGGTGCTGTGCCCAGGCTGGGGAGCAGGTGCATGGTCTGGGGTGATGTGAGAGGATGCTTTCATGGGACTCTGAGCTGAGTCCCAAAGAGCAAAAGGAAGTTAGCGAGGGGACAGCAAGAGCAAACAGAGGCAGTGGTACCAGGGCCTTTCCTTTGCTGGGGCTCCCGGGGCTGGGGTAGCGCCAGGAGGCATCTCCACATGTCCCAGTTGCTTTTGTACAGAGAATCACAGTGTGGGGTCCTTAGCCTCTGCCACTGCAGTGACAGGCTTCCCTTTGCACCTTCCCCAAATCCCTGAGGCCAAAAGATCCTCCCGACCCTTGTTCCTCAAGCCACTAGTTGGCTGGAACAGCAAAGGTGCTCCGGAATGCAAGAGGGGAGCCAGCCCCTGGAGGAGGCCGGCGGGGGCTGATGGCTGCCCGTGCAAACCAAATGCTCCCGCAGGCCTGGGGGAGAAGGCCAGGCACCAAACACGGGGCTAATCTTTAATCCCAAATAAGAGGCTGAAGATATCAAACTAAGACTGAGCTAACCAATAAAATGAATTTCTGGATTATTCATCTGACCCTCCTCAGCCATGCTGAATTTTGCCAAGATCAGCCAAAACCCCAACTCCTCTTTCAAGAAGACTAATGAGCCCTGGCTGGGTAGCTCAACTGGTTAGAGCATCATCTCTGAGACACCAAAGTTGCAAGTTTGATCCCTAGTCGGGGCACATACAAGAATCAACCAATGAATGTATAAATAAGGGAAACAACAAATCTCTCTGCCTCTGTCTCACTCTCCCCCCTCTTCTCCTTCCTCTCTCTCTCTTAAAATCAATTTTAAAAATTTTTTGAAGAAGGCTAATGAGCCTGGCTGGTGTGGCTCAGTGGTTGAGCATCGACCCATGCACCAAGAGGTCGCTGGTTCGATTCCTGGACAGGGCACATGCCCAGGTTGTGGGCCCAATCCCCAGTCAGGGGCATGTAGGAGGCGGCCAATGGATGTTCTCTCTCATCGATGTTTCTCTCTCTCTCTCTCCCTCCCTCTCCCTTCCTCTCTCTTGAAAACCAATACCGGAAAAAAATTTTTTTAATTAAAAAAAAAGAAGCCTAATGAGACCTCTGCCTTGATCCCAGCTCCAGTCAACGTTAATGCCCCCTCCCCTGTGTTCCCATAGATGTGTGTGCAGGTGCAGGTGTGTACAACTGTCTGCTATGGCACATCTGTCGTATACAAGCATTGCAAATAATGGGTGATGGGTAATAACATAGCTCTAGCACCAGACAGACTTGGGGGCTGGTCCTGCTCTGCGACCTTAAGGCAAGTTACTTGACTCTCTGAGCTTCAGTTTCTTCAGCAGCAGGAGGAAAATAATAATAGTTCCAATTTCATAAAAGCATTGTATAAACTCAAAGAGATGACACACACACACAGTAGTGAGCCCAAGGACTGGCTCATGATTGGTAGATGTTGCTATTCTCTGTCTCCCTTAAAGAAGTGGGCACCACGCCCTAATCATTTGCACTCTCCCGAGCACCCAGCACAGCACTTAGTAAAGATGTTTAGTAAAAATGTGTGACACTGAAGGAAGAGGGAGATAAATGTCTGCCAGTTGAATCTCCATGGTGAGGCCTTAGCTGATGTTTGATTGCATGTCTCTGGATGTTGGTCCCTAAGAGCCACAGGGCCTGGTGCCCCTCAATGCCCTCCACTCCTCTGCATGCTGACCCCCTCCAGGAGGGAGGGACCTCGAGCACTCTACAGTCTCCTACCCGGCTCCAGCCCCAGCTCTGCCACTAAGAGCTGTGGGAGCCTACGTGAGCCCCTAAGTCTGTTCTCAAATGGTGACAGTAGTGAGAGTGACCTCTGTCCTAGCTCTCTCGGTTTGTCATGAAGATGGAATTTACCAACTGGATGCAAAAGCCTCTCAAGCCAATGAGTGATTCTGTTCTGCAATGGTGTTACAAGTTTGCCTCTGAACTGCCAGCATTGCCACTTCCCCCATTCTAGACCCCAGCTTTAACCGAGACTCAGGTTGCTTAGCACGGAGAACCTCAGGAAGGCTTTGAGTGCAGGCTCCAAGTCACACATCCACTGGGAGGCTCAAGGTGAAAATCCTCTCGGAGCAGCCCTGGAAAGGGAATGCATACTTTCTATAGCATACTCATAACATAGTTTCAACCCATTCTTCCTTTCTCAGAATCACGACGACCATTGCATGCAACATGGACCTGTCGAAATACCCCATGGACACACAGACATGCCAGCTGCAACTGGAGAGCTGTGAGTATATATCCAGCCGGCCCCTGATTTCCCTCAAGGACTTAGATCTGTGTATTCCCAGGGCGTCCTATACGTAGTGACCTTTCTTTTCTTGACATAGATTACACCGGATATAGTCTCTGGACTATACACCCAGAGATGTTTACAGACTGCTCAAAGACAGACTTTCCAAAAGAACATCTTTTAGGGAGGACCATTGTGCATTGAAAGCAAATATTCCCACCTATGAGTGGACAAGACAGCTAAGGAGATGGGGTTGATAGAATGAGGAATGGCACCCGGAATCTGCTAGGGCACAGAAGGCAGGACGAACACAGCAGAGATTAGAAATGGCAAATCTACAAAGCAATCCCAGACACTGCTCTCATAACTGCTTTCAACTTCTAAAAGAAAATTTTTTTAATATCTATAAAGCTTAGCACAGTGATGCTGGAATGTGGGCATCTAAACTGCAGCCTGGGGACCTGTTCATGATGAAGAGCAAGTGTTTACACCAACGTGTGGAAAATGGCATTGTCGATCATCACCACGGTGCCCTAGCAAACTTCTCTGAAATGCCCACCAAACTTGGGGAAGTGGTACCTGTGACAGGAGTCCTGGGAAAACAGTGCCACAGAGAGCAGTCATTAAGGAACCAAGGCACGTCTGGTGCAAGGAGGAAAAAACCCCAGGCAAGCCCTGGAGACCAGGGGGCACTTCTTACACGAGGACACGAGTGGCCAATGTCTAAGAACAACCATTACAAGGCAACAGTCATTTTTCAGAGGCAGGCATTTAATTAAAGACTCAGACAGGCAGATTAATTACCTTATTGATTAAATGCATGCATAACCTTCTTGAAACAATACAGCTGTTTGGGGGCAGACTACAACTTGAGGTTATCAAGACGAGATCTCATTTTCAGCCTTACGTGGCAAAAGTAATTGCCCTCCGTGTGTGGCTGTTCTCGTCTCAAATCCCAGCAGTGAGATTCTCCTGGAAACTTCAGCACTCCGCTTGCACAAACACCATCCCCAGTGAGCAGAGGAAGCTTTCGCTGAGTGTTTACTAGCAGTTATTTGGGTAGAGAAACCTCACCAACGGTTTTGTCCTGAATGCCATCCCTAGAAAAGAGCCGATACCATCCCACAAGGCAAACTGTCCAAGCAGGGGTTTGTATGACTCTCTGTTTTAGATATTTTTTTTTAATATTTCGCCCTGGCCGGTTTGGCTCAGCGGTTAGAGCGTTGGCCTGCGGTCCAGAGAGACCCAGGTTCGGTTCCCGCTAAGGGCACATACCTCGGTTGCAGTTTGTCCCCGGCCCTGGTTGGTCGTGCGGGTGGCAACCACTCGATGTGTTCCTTTCATGTCGATGTTTCTCTCTCTCTCTCCCTCCCTCCCTCCCTCCCTCCCTCCCTCCCTCCCTCCCTCCCGCTCTAAAAAATGGAAAAATGTCCTCAGGTGAGGATAAAAAATATATATATATATATTTCTTTGGGATCCTAGGCCTATTTGGACAGCAAACTTCAGTAAATTTGCGGGTGCTTCTAAGGGAAAGTCCACAGATACTTTCTACCCAGAAGTCCTCTAAGAGTTGGTGACTACTTCCCTGCAGTTGGTAACTGCTTCTGGACAGTGGACACCACAGCAGAGCGGCCGTAGGATGCTAGTCCCAGCTCGAGTTTCCTGTTCCCAGCACTGGGAAACGAAGGCAGTCTAGTTCCATGTTCAAGATCATGGGTGCCCGAATCACTGGGCTTTTCCCATCACTGGTGGTGTGCCCTCGGGTAGGTAGAACTGACATCTCTGGACCTCAGTGTCCTCGTGAGTGAAATGGGAAAAATAATAGCGTCTAACTCAAAGCATTATTTTTTTTAACTGCTTCATTGGAGGAAATGTACATACCGTATGATTCACCCATTTTAAGTGTACAATTCAAAGATTTTTAGTAAGTTTGTCAAGTTGTGCGACCCTCACATTTTATTGTGAGAACCTTTCCATCACCCACAGAGACCCCTCGTAACCATTTGCAGTCCCTCTCTCATTGCTACCACTATCCCCCGGGCAACCGCTAATCTACTTCCCATTTCTGAATTTGCCTGTTAGGGTATTTCATAGAAATAGGATCAATATGCCCAGCCGGTGTGGCTCAGTGGACTGAGAGGTCCCGGTTCAATTCCCGGTCAGGGCACATGCCCAGGTTGCAGACTTGACCCCCAGTAGGGGGCGTGCAGGAAGCAGCCGATCGCTGTTTGTCTCTCACATTGATGTTTCTATGTCTCTCTCCCTTCCTCTCTCTCTAAAGAAATCAATAAAAACATATTTTCAAAAAAGAAAGAAATAGGATCAATACATTACGTGGTCTTGGGCATCTGGCTGCTTTCACTTAGCATTATGTCTCAGGACTGTACATGTTGACACATGTATCAGTATATCTCTCCTCTTCACCACTCTGTTCCTCGTTATTCCATACAAATGAAGGCCAGTAGTACAAGGCCCTCTGGCTTGTTTCCACATGGTGAGTGATGCCACTGTGGACATTTGTGTACAAGTCTTCTTGTGGACACGATTTGATTTCTCTTGGGCGCACACACACACACACACATACATATATATATGTATGTAAACTATAAAACCCAACCTGATTTCAGAAAATGTAAAAAGTACAGCATAGGGCATATAGTCAGTACTATTGTAATAACTACGTATAATGCCAAGCAGGTACTACTTATTGGGGGGATCACTTCGTAAGTTATATAAATATCTAACCATTATGCTGTACACCTGAACCTAATATAGCACTGAATGTCAACTGTCATTGAAATTTTTTTTTAGTTTTTTAATGTGAAAACGTGAAGAAAAATAGAAATGTCTGCCTTGCCAGTTTGTGAGCAATGTTCATAAATGTTTAATAAAAGGAAGCTGTTACTACTATTATCAACTCGATTAGTAAAACCACTTTGAGACTTATCGAACGCCTATGTCTATAGACATCAATAAAGTGGCCGGCTGCAGGTATTTTGTTTGGCATTTTTTGCCGACATGGAAATAGGAGCAGACCGATGGTCAAATCCCCAGGGATACTGTTGGAGGGGTCAGACTGCCCTGGAAGGCACTGCCTATGGACCCTGGTGTTCACACATTTGTGTCCAGTAAATACGGAAATAATGAAAGAGACACTCTGGAGGGTTGTTGTGCACCAGGTCATACTGAGCACTGAGCTGGTTCTCAGTGGAAGGCACAGAGCCCTTGCAGGTCACCTCATTCTCCATACACGCTGCAGTTACACTTGAGAAATCATGCTAAGTTTTCCACGGAATCTTCCTTGGATGGAGGACCAGCAAGATAGAGCTCCTACAGTCTCCGTAGCGTAGCGCGGCCCAGACCCGTTCAATCCAGTACCTTCTTGCACTGACCGGGGCTCTGCTCCACTTGCCAGGGGGCTATGACGGAAACGACGTGGAGTTCAGCTGGCTGCGTGGCAATGACTCTGTGCGTGGGCTGGAGAACCTGCGGCTGGCTCAGTACACCATACAACGGTACTTCACCTTAGTCACCAGGTCACAGCAGGAAACAGGTAACCCGTGGGACAAACTGTACAAAAGCAAAATAACTGAGTCAGAAATATCATCTCTTTTCCACTTTACCCTTTGGGGGCCCAGGAACCCCTCTGCAGTGGGTGGGGTGGTAGGGCTTCAAATTGGCCCTTTTACCTGCTCCACACCCAGGACTGATATGGCCCCAAGGGGCTCACAGTCTGGTGAGGTAGAGGACAAGCACACCAGCCCGGGTGGGGGGCATCAGCACCCCGGTAAATCCCACTCGACACGACAGCATTTTCTTTCCTGAAAACCGTAATGGCAGTTCACGATTAACGTGCTGTTGGAAGAACAGATGTCCTGATGTGAGTGCAGTTAAATTAATCATCCCAGGGGAAGCCACTCTGCTGTGAGAACAGACATGATTTCCTACCTCTCCTTCACTCTCTCAGGAAATTATACACGACTGGTCCTGCAGTTTGAGCTCCGGAGGAATGTCCTGTACTTCATTTTGGAAACCTACGTTCCTTCCACTTTCCTGGTGGTGTTATCCTGGGTTTCGTTTTGGATCTCCCTCGACTCAGTTCCTGCACGAACCTGCATTGGTGAGCAGCCCCAACCAAAGATTTCTGAGAATTGGGTGATTCAGTCCTTCCCTCCCCTCCTCTCCTTCTACCATTGTTTTCACTGATACTCACAGGGCAGTTCCAGGACTTGGTTTCTTGAGAGATCCTTTCACAGAGAGAAAGAACAAGAGAGACAGAGACTACTCATGTTTCACAGTGACAGATAAGGAAATATTGTAATTAGATGCCCGTTGTCAGTTACTTTGCATACTGAACACCCCCCTCCAATGAGAGGACAGGAGGTAAAACATCTAGAAAACCCTATCGTTCATATCTGTACAAAATGGACAAATCAACCCTGTTCCGGAAGGCCACAGCGTCTTCGAAATGAGCGGTGTTCCATTTCTGAGTCCTGTCCCCACCTTGCCAAGTCCTGAATGGAGTCATCCTGCCAGGTAACAGTAGGAGGTTCATCGGCCCCTGGTGTGAGGACATTGCCTACCTGTTTTCCCAGGAGTGACCACCGTATTGTCAATGACCACACTGATGATCGGGTCCCGCACTTCGCTTCCCAACACCAACTGCTTCATAAAGGCCATCGACGTGTACCTGGGGATCTGCTTCAGCTTCGTGTTTGGGGCCCTGTTGGAATACGCTGTGGCCCACTACAGCTCCTTACAGCAGATGGCGGCCAAAGACAGGGTAAGGACTCTGAGCGCCCTATGTGCTTCGCCACCTGTGCCATGTGCTGGTCTGTAGAGACCACCTAGATCTAGATGTTCCTGCCCTCCCACCCCACCCCATGATTCACTTTGCTCCAGCGATTCTCATCCTTGTTCAGGTAGGAGCTTCTGGAAGTCGTGATGCCTTTTGAAAATGACTGTTCTTTTCAGCATATAAAATGGGATATTAATATGTTTAATTTTCCAGCAGAAAAGGACTGTTCTCTGTATGCGACACCAAATCCCAACTACAAGGACGAGCGTCTGCGAAAAACCCAGTATTAAACCAAACCTGATCAGCTGCTTACAAGTTTCAGATGAATATGTATTTACTATTTAATTATTTGGTTACATTCTTGTTTCCTTAAATTATACAAAATAATGGCTTACTGAAAAATGCATGAAAAAATCAACTTGTAAATTTGTACATTAGCATATTTTTCTGCTAATTAGAAACATGATCCAGCTCTCATAATAATAATAGTGGCTGTGATCTATTCAGCACTTACATGTGCCAGACACAGTACCAAGCCCTTTGCAAATATTATATCATTAAAATGCTCATAGCAACCCAGTAAGGCTCCTTCTATTTTTATAGTTGTGGAATCTGAGGTACAGGAAAGGTAAGTGACTTTTCCCAGGAGACACAGATAGTAAGAGATAGAGCTGGGATTTGAACCTAAATTTCCTTGGCTCTCAAGCCTGACACATCCATTATTTCCACTTGCAGCCATGCTCTTAACTGTCATTCTCTACAGGCCCATGGGACACTGGGATCCTTTGGAATCCCAATTTGATAGACATTGGCATAGGAGAGCTCATGTTAACAAGCAAAAAATAAATGAATAAAGGATAGAGATCCAGTACAGAAAAGATGCCCACACTTAGCAGACTGACAGGACTCTAGGGTCCAATGATGAGGACATGAGGAATCAGAATAGCCCAGAGCGTCAGTTGCCTCTACCTTTGGGTTCAACTACTGTTACTACAGTCATACTACCCAAGTAAAAAGGCAAATGATCAGATGTGCCAGCCAAAGAAGAACTTGCATTTTACTTATTTTACTCCCTGTAGGCTTCCTTAAGGGGACAACGGTTAATTACAAAAAATAATAATAAATAGATAAATCTGAATTTGGTAGAGGGCGAAAAAGGGAATTGGAGAATTACTGAGATCTGTCCCTGAAGACACCAGAAAGCCCTTATTTTGCCGTGTGTGTGGTAATAGCTGTGTGCCAAACAACTTACCAACATCTCATTTAGTCCACCCAACAGCCCATCCGATGGGTGCCATTATTATCCTGATTTCACTGTTTAGGAATCTGCCAGTCAAAGAAATGCGATAACTCATCTAAGACTCCACATCTAGTAAATGGCCTGGCCAAGGATCCGAACTCGGTTCTCTCCGACTTCACTATGCTCCTCGCGGCTAAGCCACCCCAGCATGTTGGCCAATGGCAGCTCCCTAGAATTTCAGGGAGCATCACTTTCTGTTTGTGTGGCTCAAGACACTGCAGATTTCGGTTATCTCTCATAATCCATTACTTCCCCCTCCCTGGAACAGAATGGAATTCCTCAAACACCTAATAAATTCTTTACATAATTTATACCATTTAATCTCCCATCAGACTCGTGAGGTAGGTATGCCTATTTTGCAGGCAAAGACATCAAATTTTAAAGGGATTAAAGTGACCAAAGTTTCACAAGAGTGGAGAAAATGGAATTCAAACCCGGGCCAGCTAACTTCAAAGCCTGTGAATCTAGCATTTAGTACACAGCTCTGCACAGCTAGAGCAGACAATGGTTATTCTTCCCATTATGCAAGCTGATGACTGCAGATCAGCACCTATCAGCAGGATAACGGGGCTGCCAAGTCTGGCTTACCAGCCAATTTCTGATGCACTCGATGCTACTCTCTGTTAAGCCTAATTATGTAATACTTAGGCCTCGACATATATAAATACCCACTTATTTATTTTGCTGAGTCAAGTCTTTCATCTAACTGCATTGTCTATGAACCAGGGGATGCCAAAGGAAGTAGAAGAAGTCAACATCACTAACATCATCAACAGCTCCATCTCCAGCTTTAAACGGAAGATCAGCTTTGCCACCATTGAAATTTCTGGGGATAACGTCGACTACAGCAACTTGACTATGAAAACCAGCGATAAGTTCAAGTTTGTCTTCCGAGATAAGATGGGAAGGATTGTTGATTATTTCACAATTCAAAACCCCAGTAATGTGGATCGATATTCCAAACTACTCTTTCCTTTGATTTTTATGCTGGCCAATGTATTTTACTGGGCATACTACATGTATTTTTAAGAGTATGCTGAATAATTTGCATGCCATAGGACTTCAACAGAATGAGATAATGATGTGAATGATATTCTAAGCCAAGTGTGCACCCGAACCCAATGGTGCTACAAGTAACTAAAATAACAAGTTAGCATTTCTTCTCAAAGAACGGACCCCAACCATTATTTAAGCTTGTAGAAGTCCTAGCATTACAGAGTCTTATAATAGAAACATCAACCCCTTCCTTTTTTTATCATTACAAAAGACATCCCCACGGAGCCCAAGATTACAAACCTACTCAGGGTTGGCTGACTGCTCAGTGGCTCCCTGGTCTGCATTTACCTCATATAAAAAATATGAGAAGGAGACCATTACATGTATTGAGTAACCCTCAAGTGGCAGGGGTTGTTTCTGAATTAATCATACATGCTATTTATTAAATCTCCGTAGTGCTTATAAAATGCATTGTTGACTATTTAGGGAACAACATTTTCTAGTTTGGTTTTTTTTGTTTTTTTTTTATTAGAAAGAAATGTGGGCCTAAGTCAATTTACTAGAAGTCACTGTCATAGCTCAATACCAAGATGATTTTTTAATACAGTATTTAATACCGCAACAGGATTGTCCCCACATTCCCATAAGTCAAGTGTGTGTGAAGAAAAATTTAGTGGATCAATAATCTCACACATAAACCCCTTGTTTCCAGGATATAATGGCTTCCCCAAACTGGAAGGGCTCTGAGGCTGTATTCCCCATTCGACATGTCTTATCCCTTTATTGTTAAACACACACCAACCCTCAACGCTGCTAAAGGTCTTTCCCTGTTCTCAGGAATGGACATGGAAGTTGTTATGCAGTATTTTCTACTTAGTTAGGAGTCTTAGTGTGGACTGTTGCCATGAAGATTTGCAACATTGGGGCCACTTCTATCTGCTCCTGTTTCCCAGCAGCAGACCCCCTGCATCCTTCCGAGAGGAGCTCTTATCCCATGCTCTAATGACCAGGAATGGTGCTTATCAGGCAATGACTGCATTTCCCGGGAACACGGGAGCATGGCCATGCTCAGAGCCCTGCTCCTTCTAGATGAACTGCTTCGAGGGGTTTATCCTGCGCGAGCAGGAGGACGTTGGCCCTGTGTCCTGAACTTTCTGAGTAACAAGGGGACTTGTTACAGAACCCGTGTTCAGGCTGCCGGTGAGCTGTCTTTTCCACATCCAGCCATTCTCACCCTCAGACAGGAAGCACAAGTGTGCGTCTCTTCTTGCTCCGTGGCCAAGTGCAGCCAAAAGCACGAAGGTCACTTTGCGAGGGTGCCATGCTAAAGGCTTCTCGTGCAGTCGCAGTCGTTGTCAAGAATCTTGCCATCTTTGACTCTTTAGCTTCCTTTTCTAATAAATGTATGCCTGTACCCTTACTTTCAGAAATAAACCATGGCTTTGGAAGTTCGTCTTTCTTCTGTAATCCCCTGTATCACAGGCTCTCCTTCTTTTCCCTGGGATGATACTTCCCACAAGTTCGTTTCTGTGGGTTTGATCACCTGAGCTCTTAACAAAATGTTTCTAATAGGAATGCAGTTAACTAACAGAGGTAGAATGTAGTTGTGTGGTTCCATTATATTTGTGATTTTTCTTAAAGCTTTAAATCTGAAACCTCATTTAAGCATTATATGAAGAAAACTGTAACTCTGTGAAACTGTGAAATAAATACGCCATATTAGCTACCCACCAAAGCAAGTGGTCATCTGTATAATGAGTATTGTAAGATCCCGTTTGGAAAAGGTAGACATCATAGTACAACCCAGTGGGCTCATACTCTTCCATCCTCAGGACCCTCCACCCCAAACAGTACGCACACACACTCACATACACACACTCACACATAACACTTAAATACACACGCACACAGACACACACACAAACAGTCACACTCACACTCACGTACACACTCCTACTAGTCCCTGCCACAGAAGGGACCGCTGGGGCCACAGCCCCGCCCTCTCGCCCTCACTCACTGCATCACTTGCCTGGCAGGTGGGCAGCCGGGCCTGGTGATAGTGAGAGACCCAGTGCTCAGAAATGTCTCCGATTCCCTCCCCAGCCTTCTACAGTGTTTGGAAATTCTCTTTGTGTCCGTTACATGAGGTTTTTATAGTTTGAGACTATACCTTGAGGGGAAAATAACCGTGACTTTTGTATCACTCTGAACTTGAGGTGGGCCACAACGCTGGAGTTCTCCGTAACGACCCCTGATGTTCTGCGTCTGCCCCGTGGACCCCACCTACCCTCATCAGCCCCAAGATTTGCTTTCTTCAAAATATCCATTTCTAGGGTAAAAAATATTAAGACTAACCTCTTGATACACTGAGACTTCCCCAAATCATGAAACCAGGAAGGGTTGAGGATATTCTAAGTCGTGGAAATATAATTTTGAATTACCTTAATATTAAAAATATAAAATTCTCATCAGAGAAAGTCTTATATCGTAGGAAGAGAGTCAACAACACGTAAATGACAGAGGGTCAATTTCACGTGAAAGGCAGGGGAAATGGAGAAAGGAGCAGATCAGAAAAGGGCTGGCAGTAGGTCACAGGCCAAAATGAATAGGTGACACAGGAGGACCACGAGGAGGAAAAGTACAGCGTGGGCTTTCATGCCAGGCAACAATGGTGACAATCTGTAGTTAGGGAGAGTGTGACAACCAGGATGGAGATGTGGTCCCTCTTTCATTGCGTTACTCTTCTACGTAAAGAGCAGCTCTCGGCTGCTGGTCCATAGTCAATTTTGATTGGTCCACATACATTTACTGCCAAATATCCATGCTTCTTAATGTAATTTTTTAATAATCTTTTTAAAGAATAAAATTAATTTTAAAAAAGAAAATTGGGTCTTGACAGGGAGTTATACCCCAATATATAGTCAATGTAATTGTACGTTGTACCAATGACCTTAAAGAAGAACAAAAGAACATTTGAATACATGCCTCATGTTTCTGAATATTTAATAAGTAGACATATATACTACACATTACTTCCAACAGTATTTGTAGAAAATTTAGATCTATATGTCATACGTAGTTTATTTGGGTCGAAAACATTGTGTCCAATTTTGGCCATCATGCTTTTAAGAAGGATGTACAAAAACGCGAAAAGAGTCTAAGAAAAATGGCAGAAGCGATTAAAATTAAAATCATGGGAAACAGATTCAGTAGGAAGATGTTCTCCCTTGAAAAGCAAGGCTAAATGATAATGACGGCCACTGGGAGGTTCAAGGAGGGTTCTGTACAGGCACCTGATGTCCTTCTCATCACTTGAATAATTGAACTGAATTAAAGTAAACAGACAAGTGGACTCAGAGAAAGTCTCATTGTCTAGAAGAAAATGTTGAGCAACGAAACGCAGTTGAATAATGAAATCCTCAGATCAACGTCTGGTCTCCATCTGGACACTTCCCATGAGGATACATTGGCTTCTCCCCTCGGACTTTGCCATCCACATACCTGGACGCAGGAGGCTCTGTCTGTCCGGCAATCTTGGGAGCAGTCGATGCAGGGAGACACCGCTGGCTGCAGAAAATTAAAGTGTCCCACCAAGTCCTGCTAACAAAGACATATGTGCCTAAGAATGTTCCCGGTGGCCCACGAGGTGGCATTCTAAAAGTATGCTCTCTTTCTGGGAATGTGACGGGGAGTCACCTGACTCCCCGCTTTCAGTGACTTGGATGTGACATAGGCTTTGGTCATGCCATCTCATTACTTACACCCATGCCTTTCCAGAAATTAGAGAAGAAGCAACCCCATTTGGAAAACTGGAAAGGGGAACAGAGTGAGTTAGCCGCCGCATGTTGATCCAGTGTCCCTGCGATCCTTGAGGACATCTGTGTCTACAAGCCAGTTACCCCTCTTCTCTGAGCCCCAACTACAGCCAGGGCCTAACTGGTCTTGGAGGGTCAGGGGGCCCATAGGCCACATTCATGGCCTGCTTCTCCTTTAAGTCAAGACATGAATTTTATTGAACTCCTCGAGGAATAGGATTTCAGACTTCATCACCTGAATCTCCATTTTCATCTGGAGATTCAACCAATACAGAAACTTGGTTAATATACTGTGTAGAAAAAGTTAATAGGCCTGAGACCACTATCCTTAAAATCCTGTTTGCAAGCTGCCTGAAGCTGGCAGCTGAGGATTAGGAATCTGGGGGAGTTCCCATTATTCCCTAGTCGGTAAGCGTGGTGCACTGTGCCTCGGCTGTTTGTACAAACCATGTGCCTTATGCTGAACACCTGCTTCTCTTCTGGGAGTCTGGGATTCCGGTTCAAGCTAAGCAGAGCGCGCCTATATACCAATCTGGGAAACTGAGTCTCTGATGGACTCATTGGTAGAGAGCATTCCACACAGGTTGTCATAGTTCCATGTTGGAGGACTTAAGCACATCCTGGTGACGGTGAGAGGAGATGACTCTCAGACATTTGTGCCTGGTTTCCCCTGGACTTTCTCCACATGCCTTTTCCCTTTGCTGATTGTACGTTGCATCCTTTGCTACAGTATATCACAGCCATGAATTCCTCTATCCGCTGAGTCCTGAGTCCATCTAGAGGCTCTGAACCCGTGGGTGGTCTTGAGAACTTCATACATTCTTTGGAACAGTGGCTCTAAAACCTGGCTGAGCATAAGATTCACCGGGGGATCTTCGCAGACAACAGATTCCAAAGTCTCACCCCAGACCTATGGACTCAAGATCTGCGTTTTTCAAAGCTCTCCAGATGTTTTTGATGTGAAATCAGATGTGAAGACAGATGGCAAATGCCTTGGTGAAAGACAACAGGTGCATGAAAGCTATATTTTCTAGGAAGAAAAATAATGCAGGGTGTCTGCCACGCAGAAGGGAAAAGCCCAACCTAATATGATATGATTACCGGATGTGAATAATGTACACAGCAGACAGAAAGCAAAGATTTTTCCTTTGTCTCATCGAAACTTTCATGTCAGTGCCAAGGAGGAACAGGAGAGGTCCTGTTTCTGATATGGCCACAGCATGACAAAAAGTCGCCCGATGAAGCCTGGCAGGTTTGGCCAGAATCTGAATTCCATCGTGTTTATTATCTCATGGATTAAGACATTCATTTAATGTCCAAATTTTAGAAGCAGTCTCAGAGCGGGTTTTTGGATTGAATACACTTAGGGACATATTTAACAAACAAACAAAAACTGTGGATCTGTCCTCTTAACATTCAGAAAAGTGGCATGATCATGTACAAAGTTGATTTCGGTGTGATTTCTTTTTTAGGGAAAGCAGAAAATTGTGTCCCTGGTGGGTTTTGCTTTTCAATAACAATTTCCAGTTCACCAAAATATATCTTGAAGAATCAAAAAGCCTTCATTCATAAATCAAATTGTATCTACGGATCAAAACAAAGGGGATAGGCAAGGACGACAGTAGAAAGTCATGACCACAAATATGACCAATAAAAGTTAGACTCAGATGCCGTGGCATTTAAAGCCCCGC